GAAGAAGAGCTTTGTTTTGGTCTATGCCGAAGTACATCTTCTTCTTCTTCTCTAATTCTTCTTCTTCTTCTTTCCCTCTCTCTCCTTTCAAGTTCAATTATTTCTTTTGCATTTGGGCAGCATTGTACTTTCTGATGGTTGTGGACTTCAAAATTGGCCAGGATCGTAACACACACATCATTTCCACAAGTGCAATCCGGCTGTCAGCTCTGACTCTGTCTGTAGTCTTCTGTTGGTCCATCAGCCAGGATCCTGTGTTCCTCTGCGGGGGCCACGATGTGCCCCGGGGGGCACCGGGGCTCGGGCCCGTTTTTTTTTTTTCAATCAGAATTTCTGCTAGGGAAAGGGCATGCGGAGGAAAAGGGTTGGGAAAGTCTGTGGCGGGAGGAAGTTGAAAAGAGGGTTCAATGTTAGTCCAGTCCCTGAACACCAAACGGTAGTCCGTTGTATCTTCCAAATTCTGGTCACCAATGAATTTGGCTTGTCTGCCATCTGCATGTCAGTCCTAACTGGACCTGCTGTTTGACCTGCTCAGTAATCTCTGCACCCTCCACACATACCCTTTCCTCGAAGGCCGTTAACTCCTGCGCTGGCCAATAGCCTGCCAGGATCGCCTGCCAAGACCAGGGCCAGGGGTTTTTCAGCCCCCATTTTCCTCCATACCCGGTCCCACCATCTCCATGTGAAGTGTGCAGTCGGGCGCTGCATGAAAAATGTGCTCAACTGTTTCAGCCTTCTTGCAAAGCGGAAAATGTTGAAGACAGCGCTGACACCAGGGCAATATCAGCCCTTTTTGCTCCAGCCTCCAGGTTGGTGTGGTCTGTCAGCCAATCGTTGGGCGGCAGACAGTGGTGCGCTATTTGCCATTGCAGTGAACTGGTCTTAGCTGGTTTAGACTTTCGCTCTTGAAACCACCTGATCGGCGTGGCACTACCCGTTTTTTGACATTGTTTCGAGCTGGTGGTTGGCCCACCGGGCACAGAATTCTCGACATTTGCTGGCAGGTCCATTGGCATACTGCTTGGACCCCAACCCCTCAGGTTTTCACCAAGCAATGATGATAAGGGAGTTCAAAAACAGGAGATTCAATGACAAACAAAAAAAAAAAAAAAAAAAAAAAAAAAAGACTTCAGTGATTAGCATAAAATAAAAAAACGAATAAGATAATTAATGTAAAAAAAAAAAGAAATTGTCCCCCCCCCCCAAAAAAAAAAAAAAAAAAAAAAAAAAAAAAGCCACCCTTCCACATGTACTGAAGTAGGCATGCTGTTTGGCACTTCCTTTCTCGTTCCACAGAAAAGACAAGTCACGTTCAACTAAGGGTGCAGGCCCTCTAGACGATTGATTAGCCCTGCGGGTGCGGTTTACACCCCGGCTCCACCGGAGTAGTCAATGCTGGCAGCCAAAATCTCAGATTTTTTCACATATACATTAAATTTTCAACTTCGCAAATTGTTTTACTGGACTCGTTTTCCGGCAGGTGCGGCTCCCCACCAATAGAATGGAGCATCCGGAACGCACACTAGGGGAGGTTGCTCGTCACCCCCTCCTTCCCCCCCCCCCCCCCTCCTCCCTACTCTAAAAGAAAAAAAAAAAGAAAAAAGAAAAAAGAAAAAAAAAAAAGGGTGGAGGATGGAGGAAGGTGGGCAGAAAGTATAGAGCTAGCAGTTGAGTACCAGGATTGATTCATGGAGGAAAGTGGGCGGAAAGTCTAGATTCCCACCGTGGAGGATGGAGGAAGGTGGGCGGAAAGTATAGATTCAGAACAGGTTGGAGGAAGACCAGTGGAAAGTATCAGGGCAGTCCCACCGTCCCTTAGCTCCAGTCTGGTTCCAGAAATTTAAAGGACAAGTGGTGCTGTCCCGTAGTTCCATTCTG